ACACTAGAAGCAGATACAGGAATAATGAAGGGCATAGGAAGACTTAGATTAGAATACTGTTTGGATTAATTAGAGGTGAGGGATGTTGTAGCTTTTGGGCACCATGAAAGAAAGATGATAGGACACCTTCTGAGATATGGCGGACTAATTACGAACACACTAGAAGCAGATACAGGAATAATGAAGGGCATAGGAAGACTTAGATTAGAATACTGTTTGGATTAATTAGAGGTGAGGGATGTTGTAGCTTTTGGGCACCATGAAAGAAAGATGATAGGACACCTTCTGAGATATGGCGGACTAATTACGAACACACTAGAAGCAGATACAGGAATAATGAAGGGCATAGGAAGACTTAGATTAGAATACTGTTTGGATTAATTAGAGGTGAGGGATGTTGTAGCTTTTGGGCACCATGAAAGAAAGATGATAGGACACCTTCTGAGATATGGCGGACTAATTACGAACACACTAGAAGCAGATACAGGAATAATGAAGGGCATAGGAAGACTTAGATTAGAATACTGTTTGGATTAATTAGAGGTGAGGGATGTTGTAGCTTTTGGGCACCATGAAAGAAAGATGATAGGACACCTTCTGAGATATGGCGGACTAATTACGAACACACTAGAAGCAGATACAGGAATAATGAAGGGCATAGGAAGACTTAGATTAGAATACTGTTTGGATTAATTAGAGGTGAGGGATGTTGTAGCTTTTGGGCACCATGAAAGAAAGATGATAGGACACCTTCTGAGATATGGCGGACTAATTACGAACACACTAGAAGCAGATACAGGAATAATGAAGGGCATAGGAAGACTTAGATTAGAATACTGTTTGGATTAATTAGAGGTGAGGGATGTTGTAGCTTTTGGGCACCATGAAAGAAAGATGATAGGACACCTTCTGAGATATGGCGGACTAATTACGAACACACTAGAAGCAGATACAGGAATAATGAAGGGCATAGGAAGACTTAGATTAGAATACTGTTTGGATTAATTAGAGGTGAGGGATGTTGTAGCTTTTGGGCACCATGAAAGAAAGATGATAGGACACCTTCTGAGATATGGCGGACTAATTACGAACACACTAGAAGCAGATACAGGAATAATGAAGGGCATAGGAAGACTTAGATTAGAATACTGTTTGGATTAATTAGAGGTGAGGGATGTTGTAGCTTTTGGGCACCATGAAAGAAAGATGATAGGACACCTTCTGAGATATGGCGGACTAATTACGAACACACTAGAAGCAGATACAGGAATAATGAAGGGCATAGGAAGACTTAGATTAGAATACTGTTTGGATTAATTAGAGGTGAGGGATGTTGTAGCTTTTGGGCACCATGAAAGAAAGATGATAGGACACCTTCTGAGATATGGCGGACTAATTACGAACACACTAGAAGCAGATACAGGAATAATGAAGGGCATAGGAAGACTTAGATTAGAATACTGTTTGGATTAATTAGAGGTGAGGGATGTTGTAGCTTTTGGGCACCATGAAAGAAAGATGATAGGACACCTTCTGAGATATGGCGGACTAATTACGAACACACTAGAAGCAGATACAGGAATAATGAAGGGCATAGGAAGACTTAGATTAGAATACTGTTTGGATTAATTAGAGGTGAGGGATGTTGTAGCTTTTGGGCACCATGAAAGAAAGATGATAGGACACCTTCTGAGATATGGCGGACTAATTACGAACACACTAGAAGCAGATACAGGAATAATGAAGGGCATAGGAAGACTTAGATTAGAATACTGTTTGGATTAATTAGAGGTGAGGGATGTTGTAGCTTTTGGGCACCATGAAAGAAAGATGATAGGACACCTTCTGAGATATGGCGGACTAATTACGAACACACTAGAAGCAGATACAGGAATAATGAAGGGCATAGGAAGACTTAGATTAGAATACTGTTTGGATTAATTAGAGGTGAGGGATGTTGTAGCTTTTGGGCACCATGAAAGAAAGATGATAGGACACCTTCTGAGATATGGCGGACTAATTACGAACACACTAGAAGCAGATACAGGAATAATGAAGGGCATAGGAAGACTTAGATTAGAATACTGTTTGGATTAATTAGAGGTGAGGGATGTTGTAGCTTTTGGGCACCATGAAAGAAAGATGATAGGACACCTTCTGAGATATGGCGGACTAATTACGAACACACTAGAAGCAGATACAGGAATAATGAAGGGCATAGGAAGACTTAGATTAGAATACTGTTTGGATTAATTAGAGGTGAGGGATGTTGTAGCTTTTGGGCACCATGAAAGAAAGATGATAGGACACCTTCTGAGATATGGCGGACTAATTACGAACACACTAGAAGCAGATACAGGAATAATGAAGGGCATAGGAAGACTTAGATTAGAATACTGTTTGGATTAATTAGAGGTGAGGGATGTTGTAGCTTTTGGGCACCATGAAAGAAAGATGATAGGACACCTTCTGAGATATGGCGGACTAATTACGAACACACTAGAAGCAGATACAGGAATAATGAAGGGCATAGGAAGACTTAGATTAGAATACTGTTTGGATTAATTAGAGGTGAGGGATGTTGTAGCTTTTGGGCACCATGAAAGAAAGATGATAGGACACCTTCTGAGATATGGCGGACTAATTACGAACACACTAGAAGCAGATACAGGAATAATGAAGGGCATAGGAAGACTTAGATTAGAATACTGTTTGGATTAATTAGAGGTGAGGGATGTTGTAGCTTTTGGGCACCATGAAAGAAAGATGATAGGACACCTTCTGAGATATGGCGGACTAATTACGAACACACTAGAAGCAGATACAGGAATAATGAAGGGCATAGGAAGACTTAGATTAGAATACTGTTTGGATTAATTAGAGGTGAGGGATGTTGTAGCTTTTGGGCACCATGAAAGAAAGATGATAGGACACCTTCTGAGATATGGCGGACTAATTACGAACACACTAGAAGCAGATACAGGAATAATGAAGGGCATAGGAAGACTTAGATTAGAATACTGTTTGGATTAATTAGAGGTGAGGGATGTTGTAGCTTTTGGGCACCATGAAAGAAAGATGATAGGACACCTTCTGAGATATGGCGGACTAATTACGAACACACTAGAAGCAGATACAGGAATAATGAAGGGCATAGGAAGACTTAGATTAGAATACTGTTTGGATTAATTAGAGGTGAGGGATGTTGTAGCTTTTGGGCACCATGAAAGAAAGATGATAGGACACCTTCTGAGATATGGCGGACTAATTACGAACACACTAGAAGCAGATACAGGAATAATGAAGGGCATAGGAAGACTTAGATTAGAATACTGTTTGGATTAATTAGAGGTGAGGGATGTTGTAGCTTTTGGGCACCATGAAAGAAAGATGATAGGACACCTTCTGAGATATGGCGGACTAATTACGAACACACTAGAAGCAGATACAGGAATAATGAAGGGCATAGGAAGACTTAGATTAGAATACTGTTTGGATTAATTAGAGGTGAGGGATGTTGTAGCTTTTGGGCACCATGAAAGAAAGATGATAGGACACCTTCTGAGATATGGCGGACTAATTACGAACACACTAGAAGCAGATACAGGAATAATGAAGGGCATAGGAAGACTTAGATTAGAATACTGTTTGGATTAATTAGAGGTGAGGGATGTTGTAGCTTTTGGGCACCATGAAAGAAAGATGATAGGACACCTTCTGAGATATGGCGGACTAATTACGAACACACTAGAAGCAGATACAGGAATAATGAAGGGCATAGGAAGACTTAGATTAGAATACTGTTTGGATTAATTAGAGGTGAGGGATGTTGTAGCTTTTGGGCACCATGAAAGAAAGATGATAGGACACCTTCTGAGATATGGCGGACTAATTACGAACACACTAGAAGCAGATACAGGAATAATGAAGGGCATAGGAAGACTTAGATTAGAATACTGTTTGGATTAATTAGAGGTGAGGGATGTTGTAGCTTTTGGGCACCATGAAAGAAAGATGATAGGACACCTTCTGAGATATGGCGGACTAATTACGAACACACTAGAAGCAGATACAGGAATAATGAAGGGCATAGGAAGACTTAGATTAGAATACTGTTTGGATTAATTAGAGGTGAGGGATGTTGTAGCTTTTGGGCACCATGAAAGAAAGATGATAGGACACCTTCTGAGATATGGCGGACTAATTACGAACACACTAGAAGCAGATACAGGAATAATGAAGGGCATAGGAAGACTTAGATTAGAATACTGTTTGGATTAATTAGAGGTGAGGGATGTTGTAGCTTTTGGGCACCATGAAAGAAAGATGATAGGACACCTTCTGAGATATGGCGGACTAATTACGAACACACTAGAAGCAGATACAGGAATAATGAAGGGCATAGGAAGACTTAGATTAGAATACTGTTTGGATTAATTAGAGGTGAGGGATGTTGTAGCTTTTGGGCACCATGAAAGAAAGATGATAGGACACCTTCTGAGATATGGCGGACTAATTACGAACACACTAGAAGCAAATAGAGAAGTAATGAAGGGTATTGGAATACTTAGATGACATTACCATTTGCAGTTAGTTAGAAGTGAGGAATGTTGTAGCTTTCGGGAACTCTGAAAATAAGCTCAAGATAAGAAGAAGTAGAAGACTGTGTTCAACCAATCTTCTATTTGACGGATCTATGACGATCATCACGATGATAATGATGATGAAGGTTTTATGTTCCCTTCAGAACAGTAATTGAATAAAAAGAGAATATTATAAAGTAGAAGTTGGAATTATTAAAATTCACTACATTATTTAAACTATTAATGTAGAAGATTATTATTTATTAATATAAATTTAAATCTTTGTTTCCTCTTAGATAATGATGGTATCGTAGAAATAATTGTATAAGTATTTCTTTAAATATACCTACATGATTTATGGAGATTTTAGAAGAATTTTTATTTGGTTATTTAAATTTAAATTGTTCAAATGCTTACCTCAGTCTGGAAGGTGCACAGTAAGTGACACAGGTATGGATGTTTAGTTCCTAAAGCTAAAACTTTCCTTTCAATCAATGTACACTCAACATCGTCATCTTCTAAGACGACATCCTTCTTCAAGCACTTCACAGCGTAGTAGTACTCAGTCCCTTTCAGTTCTGCTAAAAGAACCTGTAAACAAAAAAGTAATGTATAATCTTAAAAAGACTCATATGATACTGCAATGCGACATATGGTAATTATTATTAATATAATTTGTACGGTACTTACTTTTCCAAAACTGCCCTTTCCAAGGACACTTAAGAAATGAAAATCGTCTATGGTATATTTTCTAAATCTTGGTATGGTGGTCGCAGGAGGCGTAATTCGACCACTTTTCTGATAACTATCGTACGTGGTCGAATTGTAATATTCTTCTGGAATGGAATCTGCCACATCGAGCGCAAAGGCTGGATTATTAGCGGCATTTCCGGTGGGAGAATCTCTGTTGTCTGTGGAACCTATTAAACAAAACAGTTTTGTCAGAAGGGTCTGCAATACGAAATCCAATAATGCGGGGATTTGAGGATTCGAAGGATGTATGTATATGTCAATAAATACGATTAACGATCTTAAGATTATTATCCTTCTAAAGCCTACAATTAATTTATTATTCATATAATGACATTGTTCATTGTATTATGCTGATAGAAAAAAATGTTTTCCTCAACAATTACCTAAACATTTTTCGTGATTTTGAACTTAACTATCCAGCGTAAATAGAAGGCGATTTGAAAAGTTCTCGGCCTAATCCAAATTTGAGGGTAGTGCTTATGTAAATAATTTAATAAAAAAAAGACGCCACGACGAATCAATGAAGACATGAATAACACATTAGATGAATCTGCGCCTTCGTATCCACGATAAAAAAGGGGACGGCTTTGTTCAAACATGGTAGAAACAGTGTCGAAGATAACCGAGGAGCGGAAGATCGTCGATGTCCAACATGCCAAAAATCATTGACAAAATCCACAAAATAGTTTTAGAAGACAGAAGATTGAAAGCGGGTTAAATAAGTGACACTATAGGATTTTCAACTAAGCGGATCTTTCATATTTTAACCGATTAACTAGAATTTAAAAAGGTACCGGCAAGATGAGCGTCGTGTTTGTTGACTGCCGAATAAGAACTTAACCAGGATGAAAACTTTAGCGTTGTTTCGATCAAATACTGGCGACTTTTTAAGAAGATTTATAACTACTGATGGAACTTGTATTCAATACTATATTCTTGAGACAAAATAGCAGTCGAAACAATGGAAACAGCAATTCTCCGTCACCGAAGAAAGTCAAGTCGCATTAAAAGTTGGCAGGGAAAGTGATGACATCAGTGTTCTGGGATTATAAGGGAATTATTCTAATTGACCACCTTCCCAAAAGTCAGACTTTAATAGACCCATACTACATAAACAAATTAGCTGAAATAAATTGCGGAAAACGACTGAAATTGGCCAAAAAGAAAATCCTTTTTCATCAGGATAATGCACCGACGCACAAGTCAGTTAGCTGCATTGGCTAAGCTAGATGAACTCCTTTTCAAAGTATTAAACCACCGTCTATATTTGCCTGATTTAGTATCGCCGGACTATTTCCTTAAATTGAAAAGCACCTGGTTGGAAGAAACTTTTACACAAACGAAGAGGGGATGACTGAAGCGGACCGGTTTTTTGAAGAGTTAAAGGAATTGACTAATAAAGTCGAACATAGAAGCGCACGAGCATAAATTGAGCAAGTGTATTGAAACAAGGGGAGAAAATCATCATCATCTTCATAAGGTCATTAGTCCTAAGACTGAGCTAATCTTAGCATTTCCCTAAAACTAGGACATCCCACATCCTTAACTAACTGCGAACAGTAATCTAATCTAGGTCTACCTCTACTCCTCTTAACTCCTGTTCTGCCTCTCATATGTCTCTGACTAGACTTTCATGCCTAAGAAAGTGTCCCACCAACCCATCTCGCCTATTTTTTATTGACTTTCATAGAGTCCTGTGTAAGGGAAGAATATGAAAAAAATAAAAGATTTTTTAAATTTTATTTTCTTTCAAAGAAGTAACTTTTTGAATTCATTTTATCCACAAGAAATAACCTTAAATAAATGAGGAAAAATTGTTGCTACTGTCACTCCCTAGCATGGGAATCAAACCCGGGCCCCGGTTTATCGCATCAGTACCCAGTATTCTCACAGATGAGTTAAATATAGGTAGATACTGCGAGCAAAGACGACGTGTTACCGGTATCTCAAATTAATATAGTCGAGTTAGGTGTCATTTCAAAGATCGAAATTCTAAGAATGTTTCTATATAATTTGATATTTTAACATCTTCTGTTCACGGAACAACTTCGATTTAGTCAGTGATTCAGCGAGACTGCCCATAACGTTCCGATAAAGAAGTTCAAAATCGTCATCCACGCCGCATAATTTCGATAAATTAGGTACAGACCAAGAAAGTGATATTCTCTATATGCGTAGGTACGTTATTTATTATTTATTACAATGTTTATGAAATAAAAGTGTCATCATTGTGACTGTTTCATGGGTGGGAAATCTACAATTTTAGAGAACCATAAATCTATCATTTCCTTGTTTACTAACTTGAAATATTAACATTGAGTTAAACCATTGAACTAAATAATTATTTCTATACTTTGTGTGTGTAGGTGCATCGCCAATTTAACGGTTTAGTTGTTAAATGCTTATATCATAAAACCACTTGTTTGAAATTTAGTTGTTAAATTATGCAAATGTTCTGAGGTTTGTGATTGCGAGAAAACAACACAACAGAATGTGACAGGAATAGAAAGGGTAATGAAGTGACACAGAAACATTAACCATCTGCTTTCGCTTGCAATAGGCATCAGACAAACTGGATCTATTTCAAGTTATTTTCATAAACCCACCCACCTGGTTTTATACATATATAAAATGAATGATTAAGTCACCGCATAAATTTTATTATGCCAGACGATTTAATAAAATGCAAAATTAAAAACATTTCAAGCGGAATAAACATTTTGTGACGCTTTTTAGCTAGCATCAAATATTGTTTTAAGATATAAAATTAAAAAATTAATCTGCTCATAGATTATATAAATAAATAATCTATAAATACACGTCAAAAGATTGGATATCGAATGTAGGTCATTTAGTTAATTTCATTCTTTTATTACACGATTGAAACATTGTTAGCTAATTCCATCATCACACATGTCAACTGCATCAATTTCCCTTACAAACCTGCCTCATATGATAGAACAAATAGAATATTATTGTATAGTTATTAACCTGAATGACATTTTGAAATTACGAATCAAAAACAAAATCTTAGACTATTAATATGTGGTGAGACAGGATGGAGACCCATTGCTGGGTTTACACTAGCCGCATTAGGGACTAGTTCCCATGGGCGGCAAAATTCGAAGCTACAGCATAAACTTTTTTTGCGCAATCAAAAATACTTTAAAAGTTGTGCATTGCAGATCATCGCCCAAACTTTTTAATTATTAATGAGCTCAAATCGCTCAAAACAATATAAGTAATTGAGCTCTTAGAACTTAAAAATCCGGTAATTGTTTAATTCAAATGACTATTTTTTTTTTAATATTTGGGCAGAAGTCTTTTAAATGAATGAGGTAAGATCCAAAGCATTTGTTAACCTCTGTAAAGCACAAACAAATCTCGATTTCACTAGGAATGCGAATATATTAGTTTAAAAAAAAAAACATTTCTCGAAACTATTTGTCAACAATATTCTCCAGCGGATCAATTGATTTCAATAAAATTTACAGCATTCAGTGTAGTTTTTTTGTGCTTTAGCTTCTTATGATCTCAAAACGTTGAGATCTGATGAATACTCGATTTTCGAAAATTGGTCAGAAATCAATAACTTCCTAATTTTAAAAAATTAGTGGTTTTTATAGCGGAAAGTCAAAAAGTATTATAAACCCTCGTCCATTTTGGGAAAAATATGAGTAATGGGACATTTTCTAAGTTGCCCAAGGCGGAACTAAAGAAAACTCCGACCCTTCTTAGAAGTTTTTCATTTTGTCGGAACGGTAAATTTTAGATTCCTTTTAACAAAAATGTGACAATTGGGTTTTTAATTCATCTTTTAGATTTAACTCAATATTTTCTTGGAACGTTATTTATAAAACCAATTAATTTATCATCCAAACAAAATTATATATAAGTAGATCCCCTAACGTAAAATACTTTCGAAACGAAGAAAACAAATTAAAAATAAATTACATATTTTTAAACGTTAGATTTCTGCTAAATAATAGGATTATAAAACAATCATCCCATTTCGTGTTTCCACAAACTGACGTTATCACAAAGAATTCGCACAATATAAATGTAAAATAAGTATAGTTGTAGGTATACAAATTTGGCATCAACAGATTCATTGAAAAGCACATATTCGTGTTTTGAAAAAAATATTAATGTAAATTATTCTGGTCTTTTATTTGCTACTTTTTATCAATAAAACAACAATCATTTAAGGTTGGTGCGACTATTGACGCAGAGGGCGCATGACGTCAATATATTTTTTTCACTTATTTCTCGATAACCTCACGCTATTATAACCAAGGTACCATTGCCTGTCAGCTATTTTAAGATAGGCGTGATTTATTTCATTACAAAACAAATTTTTCAAAATAATGGCATATTCACTTTAAATGAAACAAATGACTTTCTGACAATTTGTTTACTCAATCAGGGACGTAGTTAGAACTTGAGATAACGATATCTTCAAATATTAATGTGCTAGAGCAATTTAGGGGTCAGATTCTAGTTTGTCGTTATATAACACATCGAAAATTATTTATTCTTTTTTACTTTTTTATTTCAAACAAATTACAGTAGGAATTCTACTAGGGATGTGTTTTCAATGGCAAACTCGAGCTTAGCTGCAGAAGCGCCTTAACAGCAAGCTGATTGATTTTTTGAGAAACTCGAAAAAAAAAGAGAATTAGGATCATCCATATTTTAAGTTTAAGATAAAAATATGAATTTGACCTAATCGAAATCCAGCGACAAAAAATATATCGGACATCGCCACTCTCCTGTTTCACGGAGCAAAATAAATTTTTGTGACAACGCAAAAATTACAATAATGTAATAGAAATAATACAAATAATAGAATTTATTAGATAACTTGTAATAAACTTAATTTTGACATGGTTTTTTAAGAATTAGTTCAAATTTCTTAATTACTAGGATTTTATTTTTACAAATTCGGGTCCAAATTGTAATTTTTATTATTTTCGCTTACGAAGCAACGCGATAGCGGGATAAATTGTTCTTTTTCATTTTCTCCGTTTTGTTTTATCCCAAAAATTGCATTCCGAACTTTCCTATTCATCAATTCGTTTCACTCAAAATTCAGTTTCTTTTCAAATAATAGTTTCTTTCAGAATCTCGCGGAGGGATTTTAATCGGTAGACGCTTCGGAAAATCC